CAAAAGTATCCACCAGTTATTAAAAAAATACTATTTTAAGAACAAAGTTAACATTAACTTTATTTGACTGATTTAATAAATAAGCTTGCATTTTGCAAAGTAAAAAAAATTATGTGCTGTTAATCAAAAGTTGTTTTTCTGGTTGAATTAGAATCTCTCTACACAATCAGGCTCATTTAAACAAACTTTTTAAAACCTTCAACAAGCTGTAAAATATCTACACTGAAGAATATCAGTGTTAATTTGAACCTAAGAATGTTGAAGTTGCATTTGTTTTTAGTAGTTTAATGAACGTGCATGATGCCAACACGTGTCTGTCTGTCCTCAGTGCCTTTGGTCAGAAGCATGATGTCAAGACTGATGATTCCCACAGAGTGTTCACCTTTACAATGAGAGGACGACTCAAACCACAAACACATCAACAAGCAAAACTGTGGACATGTTTGTTCTCACTGACTGTAAAGTTGTTGGTTTTTATATTTCTGCTGGATGAACTGTGTTTTATCTCCTTTTATATTTTCACTCCAGGCATTACAAGTAATGATACGCTGTGTGTTTTATGACTGAAAATGATTGTCTTACATTTTCAGACTTTTAGGTCAAATGTGTGGAGACAAAAATACAAATAGAGAAATGCAGATTGTGGGTATTATTATGTATTTACAACATGGCTGTGCAGAATTGATCACACCTAGCTCAGCTTCACCGCAGGGAGCATAAAAGGAACTCATAAGGGAAACACATTCCTTATCATTAGTACCCCACATTGATCAAATGTTTGACAGTTTGACTGATAAAAGTTTGCAATAAGAGTAGTGAACAGCTTACTGGAAGCAAAACTGACATCTGTGGAATGTAGTTCTCACGATTTTCAAAATAAAGGTTGTCTTATGCACCACTGTGGACGTTGAAATATTTACTATATTTACTGCAGCTCTGGAAAGAATTAAGAGACCGACGTCTGCATAGTTTCCCTGTATTTGGTGGAAAGCAGTCCACCAAATATTGATTTCTCTTTCTGAGTTAAAACATTAGTATTGTTGTTTCTAAATGAATATGAACTTGTTTTCTGTGCATCGTTTGAGGTCTGAGAAAACTGCATTTTTGTTGTCATTTTGACCATTTCTCATTTTCTGCAAATAAATACTAAATTTTTGCTTGGAATTTTGGAGACATGTTGTCAGTTGTTCAGAGAATTAAAAAAACAATGTTCACTTTACTCAAACATATACATACATATAAAG